TCAAGGGTTTTTGAAATTTTTTATCATGTATTAATGATTAATTTCAATAACTGCGCCATCAAGTGTGCTTGCTGATACATTTTAAATTAGTGTGTATAGTGTTTTAGACGATGCATTGATACATGAAGTGTTTGCTGATACATTTTGAATCAGTGTGCTTGCTGATACATTTTTAATCCATCAAGTGTGTATAGTGTTTTAGATGATGCATTGATACATTTTGAATCCACCAAGTGTGCTTGCTGATGCATTTTGAATCAGATTGTATAGTGTTTTAGACGATGCATTGATACATGACAGATTGTTCGTAAAAAATGTATTCAAAATGGATGATATAATCTTTGATTTTCAAAATTTGAAATTAATATCCAATTACGTGCTAATTTAATGCTGATTAATGATCTGTTACAGAAAATTAAGCTATTTTAGTTAACAAGTTTAAATGTACCGTTTTTTCCCCATTTTTTCTTAACAGTTTAAACTTACCATGTATCACTAGAGTCTAAAGTATCACGGCACAAAAATTTTAAGAGATTTTTAGTAAATACTAAATTTGTCGGGACATAGTGTAATTATTGAATTACACTATGAGATTCCTTAAATTTTTACTTATTATAATCTCTTTTTTGCACTTGTGTAACTGGACACTTGTAGCTCCAATCTTGACCCCTTTTTAACATTTTTGGGCCTCTGTTTGGATCTCCCAAGCCCATTTACTTAAGACTAACCCAACCAAGTTAGTTCATGCCATTAAATCTACAAATTACAGAAATACACACACTTTATTTCACTTATTTTCATTATCCCTTACTATTTTTTAAAATCTTCAAAATTTCTTATTTTTTTAATATATTCGAGCTGCATATTAATGTATTCGAGCAAGTTTTTAATGTAACCGAGCTACATATTAATGTATCTGTGCCAGTATTTAATATATCTAAGCTACATATTATGTATCCGATATACTTTTTAACGCATCCAGCTACATATTAATGTATTCGAGATAATATTTAATGTATCCGAGCTACATATTAATGTATCCGAATTTTAATTATTGTATTCAATTTTTTAAATTTTTAAGAAATTAATGTAATTAAAAACTTATTAGGGATAGATCTTAATTTCATATTAAAATTTATGAGATTTATGTAATTTACGCTTAAATCAATACTAAAAAGTTCTGAAAAAATTCAAGAAGTATAAATAATAAATGAATAATTTGAACAAATAAGAAATAAGAATAATTAATTAGTATTCTGAATTTTGATCTCTTCATATCCCCCAAAGCCTTAAACAAGATTTGTCACAGGCTCATTTAGAAAAGGAATTGGACTATTTTTGTGTACAAATAGATACAATTTTCTGTATCATTAGTTGCTCTCTACTCACAAGCACTAATTATTTATCAAATTAGATTGAACAATAATTTCAATATAAACTATCAATAATGATTTAAGATCGTAATTGAATGATAATTATTCTTTCATTTTTTAAAAAATGATAAATTTTGAGTTCAATTCTGATACAATATTGACTTTGGTAGAAAATATTTTATCTTTAAAATATATCTTTTCAATACAAATCGTATGATTGATCAATCCATAATATGAAATAAGGAGTGAAAACACACCAATTCTTTATTTTTTACACTTTAGCCCCTTAATTTGTTGAAAACACTCATTAAGGACCACAACTTCATATTTTCTTAATTAGT